TCAGCTCCATAGAGCCCCTGCTGGCAGGGACCCCTGTACCCCTGCAGCCTTGCTCTGGGCTCTGCCAGCGCTGGCCCTGTGACACGGGTGCAGGCCCTGTGCTCCCATGCCCGCTCACTCCCAGCACCCCCCAGCCCCATGGTACAGGAGGGGGGGCTGCGAGTGGCTGCAGTGCAGGGCACCGGCCATGGGGCGGGTGAGGAGTTACTTTTCTCTGGGCTCAGCTTCTCCCCAGGCTCTTCCCCTGCCCCCCACCCCCCCTTACCTGAGGTTCCCACACCGCATGGGTCCCAGGCCAGAAGCCCCTGCGGGGGCTTCCAGCTGGGGGGGCAGGGCTGAGGGGGCCCTGCTGTTGCGGGAGCCTACCAGGCTTCCTCTGGGTCCTACTGTCCCTGGTTCCTGTCATTTTTGACAGGAACCAAAGATAGATTAATATCAATTTTCTAAAATTTTTAGGGGCCCCACAGGCCAGATAGAATGGCCTTGCAGACCACATCCAGTCCATGGACCATATTTTGCCCGCCGCTGCTATATAGGGAAGTTGTGGTGTCTCCATCACGGGACATCTTCAGGAAGAGGTTAGATAAGCATTGGTCAGGGATGATCTAGATTCTATATCTGTGCTATACTATGGATATTGTTCATGCTTCTGGCCTTTGCTGGTTGCTTCACAGGGCTGGGAAGACATTTTTTTCTTTCCTGTTGCTATCTGTGCCAGAGGCATTTTTTGCCTTCCTCTGGTTGCAGCCAAGACTGTGGTGTGCTAGTGCTCCTGTTGGGACTAAAACCCAGAAGTTCTTGGCTAAAACCCAGAAGAATCTTGCCCCTTTGCTTAAGGTCAGACTTATTACTACAGTTGGGGTCAGGAAGGAATTTTACTCTGTCAGGTCAGGTTGGTATAGACTATGAGGGGTTTTGCCTTCCTGCGTGGACTGGGGTGTGGCCATCTTCCTTGAATCTCTGAAACATGTTTTAACAATTCTTGCAGCAGTAGGACACTGGCCACCATTGCTTTACCTGTGGCAAGTTAGGGCATTATGCTTTGTGGTTGCATGACAGGGTTGCCCATGTAGTTTTAGTAATACGTTAGACAAGGTTTTGCTTGGGATGATTTGAATAGGGATGATCCTACCTCAGGCAGGGGGTGGACTAGATGACCTCCAGAGGGTCTCTTCCAGCCCTGCTTTCCTAAGATTCCATAATGATTTCTATATCAGCATAATACTGTTGACTTCAGTGAAGCTGTACTTGTCTATAATAATTAAGGATCTGGTCTATTACGTTTTCTGTCAAGAAAACAATGGCTGCCTGCATACTGAAATACTGTATTGAGTTAAATACTGTTAATGAACTGATTAAACAACAGGAACAAATTTCAGTGCTCAGTTACACCGATGCAACCCCTGTTGACACTAATACAAGTGTGCCTAAGGGCAGGTTTTGGCAGGTAGGAGGCTGGGGAGGATTAAGGAAAGAAGAATTACATTGGCCTCCAGCTTTTTATGCCATTTAAGCCATTAGCAGATTACATACTCTAGAAAAGTTTGGGAGCTGCTGTGTGTTGTGTCAGAGCATGGAGCAGAATGCTGTCATGCCTCAGAATTTGGAATTGTTAAAAATGGTAAAAATCAAGTACAGAAATGAACGGTAGATCTAGGCTTTGTAGTTTCCTTCCCCAGAAATGGGGGGAGAGAAGGGAAGGTAATAGGATTCCTGAGTTAATGGTTTATAAAGCCCTTGTCAAGCCTTTTTGTGAAGTATGATATATAGACATAGGAGACTAATTTTTTTATTAAAATAAAGACATGAACTGAAGACAAATATCCAGTCTTTATTATTAGATGTACTCTTGGGAGATATCGAATTTTGTTCTCTGCTCCATTTTTCCTTGTACTGTGCTTTCATATTCTCACAATGTAAATTAAGTTGAAATAATTGAAACATATTTGTTGAACTAGACACTAATTATAGCATCATTAAAATGTTAAAGATTTTCATACGGAAAAAGAATCTGGAAGGGAGATATGTTTGTGTGTGTGTGTGTGTGTGTGTGTGTGTATACACACAAACTTTTAACAATCAGTATGCTGAGATGGATTCTCCATTTGTGCACCAGTTTTATGTCAGTGCAACCCACTGAAATCTGTAGACTTGCACCAGCATAGCACTGGACAGGAGAATGAGACCACTGCCTCTTTTTTCTTTTTATTCTCATTTACAGAATGGGAAAAAAATTATTAGCTGGCAGCTCGAGATATGTTAAAATGGTACCGGCGCAAGTAAAAGCATCTTAGTTCCTGAGAGTCAGGACAAGGAAATAGGCTGATGGATTGTTAGATGAAATGGGCTACTGGTCGGAGGAACAGGTAGCTAGTGTAGTTGCAAAGAAAACTCCTTTGCCGCAGTGTGGGGCGTGAGAAGAGGCTGAGATTAACCTACATCAGGGATTGCATGTAAATACTTTCATGTTCACAGTCCCTGAAAATACATGTGTGTGTGGAACAATACCTGTCCCATATGTCAGGATATACTGTTGTCAATAAAAATAACTGTTCTCATTTTCTTGAAAGACTGAGGGTTTTTTACAATGATCTTAACACAAGAACAAATGGGAACAGTGAATAAATTAGGTTGGGAATTTGGAGGAGGTTTGTAACCTTCAAGGGAGCAGTGTTCTGGAACAGCCTTCCAGTAGCAGTAGTGGGTCCTGGGAAGCCTTATCTGCTTTTAAGACAAAACTTGTGAATTGAATTGTATGGCACGTTTGCCAGGGATAGCAAGAAACTAGGCTTGCCACAGGAGATCCCTTCTGCATTAAGCCCACACATGTGAAATATAATTAGCAAAGCACAGTCTTGAGCTTGATGCAGATGTTTTGTAAGAGACTAGAAACAAGTCATATGCATGGACATAATCATAAGGAGTACTTAGCAGTACCAGTAGGCAGCAATAGTGGAGGAGAACTATTTGGTATGACCCAAAGTATGTTGTATACTAGATGGTATATTATAGTTTTTTTAATATAAATTTGAAATAAATGGTCTAGTCTGAAATAAATAAGATAATAATGAGTAAGAACAAATGCAAAGTACAGCACTTAAGAAAAGCACAATGAAAAACATAAATACAAAATGGGTAACATAGCCAGGCTGAAGAAAGTACTGCAAAGGGTACTGAAAAAAAGAACCTGGGAGTTAAATTGGATCACATAGAGCACATCTACATGTGCACCTCATGGCACAGTTATTACTGCGCCATCATTTAGGACTTGCTTTAGGAAGTTCTAAATGATGGCGTAGTAACAACTGTCTACATGTGAGACATACTGCGCCATCCTGGTGGCTCATGGTTATGTTTAGCAGCTATGTCACCATAGTGGTGCACTATCGCGAGGTAGTTCATCTCTACAGCGTCATAGCATCAGTGTCATGGTTTGTGCCAACTAGTGTTACATCACCGTAGTGACAAGCTATGTCGCCGTAGCATAACGTGTAGATGCACCCATAGTGAATGAGTCACTAGCGTAATATTGTCACAATTAAAAGCATACTGAGGTGTACTTGCAGGAAGATTGTATTCAAGTCGCTGGAAGTGATTCTTCTATCATATTCAGCATTGGTGAATCCTCACCTAGAGTGTTGTGTCCAGTTTTGGGCACCACGCTTCAAGAAAGATGTAGAAAAATTGGGAAAAAGTCTAGAGGAGAGCAATAAAATGTGATTATGGGTCCAGAAAGTGTAACATATGAGAAGGGTTGAAAGAAATATGTAGCCTAGAAAAAAGAAGCCTGAGTTAGGGATTTGGTAGCAAAAGGATTGAAGGGGACAATTAATTGTAATTTATTCATAAAGAACTAGACAAAAAGTAATAGGTTTAAATTTTAAAAATGGGAAACTTAGGTTGGATATTAAGAACATTCTAGCTACAAGGGTAGTTAAGCACTGGAACACATTACCTGGAGAGGTTGCACAATTCCCTTCACTGGAAGATTTTAAATACAGGCTAGATAAACATTTGCTTTAATGGTTTGGACTAGATGCCCTCCTGAGATCCTTTTGAGTCATACTTTCTGTGATTCTATTTTTATATTTATTTTCTCATTCGCAGTCTCAGATTGGGTCAGCAATAGCATTTTCTTTTCTACTAAGGCAAACCTATGTTTATAAGACCAAGACATAGGGGAAAAATAAGATACAAGAGAGAAACCATAGGAAACTAAGAGTGCAAGCAGAATACAGAGAAACGCCTTTAGATTGTCATAACAGTGATAATGTTGTATGGCCTTGAGAGGAGACCACAGCTGGAAAATTGGCACAACCATATTTTTTGTCGGCGTGATAAAACTAAATCTGAAATCTCACCTGCTTGTGAATGGTCAGGAATCTTTCCTATTTCCAAATGACATTTGGAATTTTTAGAAGTGCCCGAGTGATTTAGGAACATAAGTTTCACCAGAATTCTATCCCACCTGCTTTTCTTGTCCAGAAAATAGTAATCTTGTGTTCTAGTGATTTCTGTAGTTAATTACTGTTTCTTAGAAGTATTGTGACAAAACAGTTAGCACCCTGTTGTATTCCCATGGAAGGCAAAGTCTCTTTTTGCCTTAAATTAGACAGGTTATCTTTTGTCTTTGTCTTAACAAGGCAAATGGGGTTAGCACATGATGGAGAAAATAGTATTACAATGAAGAATTTGATTTTAGTTTCAGTCTTTGAATGAGTATAAGAAGCATAAAGGAGGCTACATCCTTTAGACCTTGCAGGGGTCGTTCATTTGACCCCAGCATTCTTTCCTGCCCATGGCAGGGGGTCGGACTTCATGATCTGGTCAGTTTCCTTCCAACCCTACCAGCTATGAAACTATGAAATTGTAAAATGGGATTTTAAACCAATTTTCCTACCACCTTGACAGTACCTCTTTGCTACTGCAGTACACATGATTTAATTCTTTAGTCCCTATTTATTTTCTTTCAACTGACGCTTATTTTTTCTTCCTTTCAGATACCAAACACTAGTGGTTAATCAGGAGAAGAAAACATGACCAACAACCCAGCAAACATCGCTAACCACCTGCCATACTTTTTTGGCAATATTACACGTGAAGAAGCAGAAGAATACCTGATGCATGAACGGCTGAGTGAGGGACTGTATCTTCTGCGCCAAAGTCGAAACTATCTTGGTGGTTTTGCTTTGTCCTTGGTACATGAAAGGAGGGTTCATCATTACACAATTGAGAGGGAATTGAGTGGCTCATATGCCATTGCAGGAGGGAAGTCCCATGCAAGTCCTGCTGAACTCATTCACTATCATGCAGAAGAAGAGGATGGCTTGGTCTGTCTACTTAGAAAACCTTGCAACCGGCCACCAGGTGTTGAGCCCAAAACTGGACCATTTGAAGATCTAAAAGAGAACCTCATCAGAGAATATGTTAAACAAACTTGGAACCTGCAGGTAAATACAGACCTGTGTTTGTAATTAAGAATCTTCTCTCTGAATCAGTTATTATGTTGTATGACTTCCAGCTGTTGCTTGCTATTGCTATGTGGTAGTGTTGTTTGTGATAATCCTTATGTAATTGCTTGTGTTTCATGAGCCATTATTTTTAATAGGTTTTAATAAACTGGACATAAATGTATTTCTTCTAGAACTTTCACAAGGTTTATAATTATTTTAAAATGCCACCAGGCCAAATCCCTTACTAGATTAGGCTATGTTATATCACACCTCTCCACATCAATATGACTTAAAAACATACCAAACAAGGAGTACAGGTAGCAGTTAAACATACAAAGTGTGTATGCACGTGAGTGCACTGGTGCATGTGCACACCGTTTTTTGTTTAAAGTCCGTTTCTGGTCTTCTTTGTTTGCCTGGTGTTTAGTTAGATTATATACAACTTGTAACTTTGCTTCCTACACGCCTGTGAAGCATTTATCACACTCTTTTGTCCCATATAAGTTATATAGTGGGAGGGCACAGTCATGGGAAAAACTGGATAGGATAGGATGGCTTAGGGTCAGGGCTTCTGGAACTGAAGGCTAATTCAGAGCATCTTTGGCTGCCTTGACTGCATTCCATCCACCATTACCATTTCCTAAGCTATCCAAGCTCCTTATATGCTGTTTTGCCACCTTATTGACAGGTTCCTAAAAAATTCAAATACTTAACATACATAGCCAGCAAAAACAAAGAAACTCAGAGGTTGTTCTTGAGTCATGCTATACTTGCAAATGTACCTGATTTGTAAGTGTTGTAACTTGTGATTGATATGGACACCTTCTAGAGAAGTGATACTGTTATTTTTTTAATGGTTTCCAAAAAAGAGTTTTTTTCTTTATGATATAGTCCCTAAATTGTCATCAAGAGTCTGGTATGTAAGTGAGCTCACTACTGTTGCTCTGTGGGCTTATATGACTCAGAATTGCAATGCACATACAGTTAAATAAGTTACATTATAGAATACTTCAATTAGATTATTGTTATGTAATTAATTTATATTGTGGTCTCATTTATAGGTGATTATTATTTTCCTCTGTTACTGGTTATCTTTACCGTCCATTTTCTACCCTAGAAATATAGGTAAATCCTCAATTTACATCTACCTTAAAAGTAAAAAATTATGTAGCACTAAATTTATTTAATCTCAAACTCTAATTGTTCATAGGATCTGGATGTTCACCAACATTTCAACAAGTGGCATTACATGATTCTAGAACTGTATAAAAATTATGTGACTGTAATTTTCATTGCATATGGCAGAATGTAGTTTAACTCACCCCTTTTTCCACTGTCCAGGGTCATGCCTTGGAACAAGCTATTATTAGTCAAAAGCCACAGCTGGAGAAGCTGATTGCCACTACTGCCCATGAGAAGATGCCATGGTTCCATGGGAAGATCTCTCGAGAAGAATCGGAGCAGCGCATCCGTATAGGAACAAAAACTAATGGAAAATTTCTGTGAGTACTTTCTTCTTCAGTATGGCTAGTTACCAATGCTGTTGCCCAACAGTTTGCTTAACTGAAATTTGAATGAGACTCTGAGCAAAGATTTGGGTCATTCACTGTGAGAAATCCCAATACAAGGTAACATCCATTGCTGTAAGCATTTCAATCTAAGCAAAAGTCTTCAAGACCAGTGAAAATATGTAGTGAAAGCAAGGGTCATATTATATTTAAGTAAGCATTAAGGTTAATTCTTTGTGAAGCAAAATAGGAGTTCAGGGTGTCAAGAAAAAGCCACTCAGCCTTATATTTGAGTGAGGGTATCAAAACAGTGAAAAGAACACTGATAAACAGCCTATGTTGGCAACTTTTAATATCCATAATTGTTATTTTTCAAAAAATCAATAACAACAGTATATTTTGCAATTTAGCAGCAACAAGAATCTAACCAAATACTCTTAATTTCTCTGTCTAGTTCTATTTTGTGTCTCTGTTTATCCATTTTCTCAACACCTTCACTGGAATAACTGAGTACCAGCAGGATGTTCAGGGTGGCGGTTAATCAAGGCCAGTTGGCATTCAAGTCATAGCATGTAGAAACCTAGTTTTCTCCCACATTCTTTACAGATCAAATGTTACCTTTACAGAAAAGATTAAGAAAATTACCATCAAGCTTTTCATACACTAAAATTGTATTTAAATTCCATTGCTTGTATCTTTATCCATGATACTTTTTTAATCATAGTTTACCATCTGCATCTGTGTGGAAAAGTAAGGGCACATTGTCTGCCTACCTGCTGTCCTGCATGAGCTGTATACATGACAGAGAATAGAGTCCATTGATTTCTACAGGGCTGCTACTGCCCCTCTAACAAACAGAGCAGGGACTAAAGGGTGATTTGGCTCTGCCCCAAAACTTGCCAGCCATTTGAGTTTAGTCAGTGCAAGAGAGGAAGTCACGGGTTACTGGTACAAGCCAGAAGTATGTTACTTTCATACTGGTGGCAGGGACTATAGTGACAGAGCCTCCTCTGGTTTGTTCCTGGTCCAGTGCAACTACCTGGGTCAGGACAGATTACAAAGTGACAGCTTAGTCCTAGGTCACTTTCCTGTGTTCCTGTAATCATTTACCCAATGTGTGTTTTACACTGTAGAAGTTGAGAAATAGAACACTTTTTTGATTAGAGAACTGAAACAGTAACACCACAACTGCTGTGATACAAAGAAATAAGGCTTACACAACACATGTTCTATAAATTCTCCTTACTCAACAACAATTTATATCACTGTGTATGGTATGAGTCTACCATACTGGTACAAACTAAGTACTAAGCATACTCTTGTTACTTTTGAATATGTCTGCTCCAGGACAGACCACATAATTTTTTACTTCCTGGTTGAGACAAGCAAGTCTGACAGTTATTGAAATGTAGGATTTTTCTAGCTTTCCAGTGGGTGTTCCTAGTTTTTAGGATTTGCTTCCTTTGTGCATTAGGACAGACAACTTGGCATCTCTAGCAGCTTGCTTGCGGCTGTTGTTTTGTTTCCTAAAAACTGTATATGCCTCATAGAAATGACTTCCAAAACTGAAGATGCCTCAGGGGGACTTACTTGTTGTGACAGAAATCTCAAGTCAGGTTGAGGTCAGATGAAAAGGAAATGAAGGAATGCTAAATTTGGATAGAGACAAGCTGTTTCAAGGGTGTTCAGTGGCTTTGCCAGCCACCCTAGATCAACTTCTATCATCTGACTTTTTAGTCTAGACAAGAATCATTCTGGCTTTTCCTTAAAATAAAAAGATAGCTAAAGTTATCTTGTGCTTCTTCATAATCTTCTGCAGTGATTGCTAGGGCCTGTTCTCCTAAGTCTTGGTTAGGAAGGCCAAGGCAGAGATGGAACAGGGGCTGGCTTCCCGGATTAAGGACAACAAGAAGTCCTTTTTTAAGTACATAGGGAGAAGAAAGAAGGCCCCAGGAAATGTGGGGCCCTTGCAGGACAAGACGGGGAATCTGGTTGTCACGCCAGACGACAAAGCCAACATATTTAATAACTTCTTTGCCTCTGTCTTCCTCAGTAAGGACCAGAACTGCCACCTCCCTGCTGGGCCCCCTTTGGGCCCCGGGGGAGGCTCACCTGGGCCTAGAGTGAGTGAGGATTTAGTTAGGGAGCTTCTGGAGGGGCTGGACGTTTTTAAGTCAGCCGGCCCGGATGATCTTCACCCTAGAGTCCTAAAGGAACTGGCTGGGGTCATTGCAAGTCCCCTGGCACGGCTTTATGAACACTCGTGGTGCTCTGGAGAGGTGCCGGAGGACTGGAAGAGGGCCAACGTGGTTCCCATCTTCAAAAAGGGGAGGAAAGAGGACCCGGGGAACTACAGGCCAGTCAGCCTTACCTCGATCCTGGGCAAGCTGTTCGAGAAAATTATTCTGGCACACATCCAGGAGGGGCCAGCAGGGAACTGCATGCTCAGGGGCAACCAGCACGGGTTCATCAGCGGCAGGTCCTGTCAGACCAACCTGGTGGCCTTTTACGACCAGGTCACTAAATCATTGGATGCAGGGGTGGCAGTGGATATAGTTTTCCTAGACTTCAGGAAGGCTTTTGATACTGTCTCTCACCCCATTCTCATTAGGAAGCTGGGGGACTGTGGCGTAGACACCCATACAGTCCAATGGGTCGCCAACTGGTTAGAGAGTCGCACCCAGAGGGTGGTAGTGGATGGGTCCTTCTCGACCTGGAAGGACGTGGGAAGTGGGGTCCCACAGGGCTCGGTCCTTGGGCCCGCCCTGTTCAACATCTTCATCAGTGATTTGGATGAGGGGGTGCAAAGCACCCTGTTCAAGTTTGCTGATGACACTAAGATGTGGGGGGATGTGGGCACAATAGAGGGGAGCAACAGGCTACAGTTGGACCTAGATAGGTTACAAGGATGGGCGGAGGAGAACAGGATGGGGTTTAACACGGACAAGTGTAAGGTGATGCACCTGGGGAGGAACAATCGGCACCATACATACAGGCTGGGGAACTCCCCTCTTGTCAGCACGGAGGTGGAAAAGGATCTGGGAGTCATTATTGACTCCAAGATGAACATGAGTCGGCAATGTGGGGAGGCGGCTAGGAAGGCCAACTGCACCTTGTCATGCATCCACAGATGCATCTCAAGCAGGTCCAAGGAGGTGATCCTCCCCCTCTATGCAGCACTGGTCAGGCCGCAGCTGGAGTACTGCGTCCAGTTCTGGGCGCCGCACTTTAAGAGGGATGTGGACAGCATCGAGAGGGTCCAGAGGAGGGCCACTCATATGATCAAGGGACAGCAGGGTAGGTCCTATGAGGAAAGGTTGCGGGACCTGAACCTGTTCAGCCTTCAAAAGAGAAGGCTGAGGGGGGATCTTGTGGCCTGTTATAAACTGGTTAGGGGGGATCAGCAGGCGCTGGGGGAGTCCCTGTTCCCCCGAGCGCCGCAAGGAGTGACCAGGAACAATGGTCACAAGCTGGCGGAGGGAAGGTTTAAGTTGGACATCAGGAGGCGCTACTTCACGGTCAGGGCGGCTAGAGTCTGGAACCAGCTTCCAAGTGAGGTGGTGCAGGCTCCCACCCTGGGGGTTTTTAAGAGGAGGTTGGATGACCACCTTACTGGGGTCATTTAACCCCAGTGCTCTTCCTGCCATGGCAGGGGGTTGGACTAGATGATCTGCTCAGGTCCCTTCCGACCCTAGAAACTATGAAACTATGAAACTATAAGTCTGCTAGTCTTCAACCTCCAACATTTACTTTCTATGCGCAACTTGAGTAAGCATCCAATAAAAGGGTCCAAGTGTGATCACCTATTGTCCTTCTGGAGAATCTTGTAGGAAGTTTGGGATCATCAAATATAGAATGTTTTTACAGCTATTAAGTATGAAGATAATCAGGAAAAAAGACTTTGAAAGGGCTTCTCTTATTATGAAGGAATGGCAGGTGAGAGCCTAAATGCACATGTAAATGCTGACCTGGGAGTAAATTGCATCTGGTCAGCCCAACAGACAGACTCATGCCTGCTGTCTAGCCACATGGCTCCACTCTGTGCACCCTCATGCCCCAGCCAGCTCCTCCACTGCCTGACCTCATGACCCAAAGCCCAGGGCTGACCCCCCAAGCCTGCTGCCAGCCTGGGGCTGCTCCATCCCAGGTTAAGGTGCTGCAGTCTCAGGCACATGTGTAGATGCTGTGCCTGGGAGCCATAAACTCCAGTGTGAACTGTGCTGGCATTTATTGCATTACACTATACAGGGACAGGCAATTATTTCGGGTGAAGGGCCACTTACCGAGTTTTGGTAAGCCATCAAGGGCCTCAAAGGTAGCTCTGCCCCATGTCAGCTGTCCCACCCCCTGGTTGCCATCTTGGGACCAGAAGTCCCACCTCCTAACCCCTGACCTTTGCCACCAGAAGTCCCTTCCCTTGTCCCCTAGAAGTACTCCTTTCAGGAAGGAGGTATGCCAGCTTGGAACCAGAAAAATACCAAATTCTACAAATCAAACATGAACTACAAGAAATATTTTTGTCCTGATTTACATGTGTTTGTGTAGTGTACATAGAGGTGATAGTATAATAGCTTAAAATGAAGTCTTACGTTTGTATATTGTGGGAGGGTGCAAGTGGGTGGGTATGGGTGTGTGGGGTGTCAGGGAGGGCATGGCATGTGGGGGGTGGATAGGCATGGGCGTGTGTGTATGTGGAGTGGGGAAGTATGTGGGTGGGTGTGTGGGGTGTGGGTGGATATAGGGTTTGTGCTGGTGCGCAGTGGCCAGTGCTGGCGGGGGCCCAGGGTGGGCAGCAGGACCATGGGGCACAGGCTAGCAGGGGTTCTTTGGAGCTGAGCTGGGCTGCACCAGCAGGTAGAGGGGGGAGCTGGCCCAGGTCTATAGAGCCCATCTCGGCCCAAGCCCTGCGCTCCTGCCACCCCACGCTGGGCCCCCGCCGGCACTGGCCTGGCCCTGGCGTACTGGCACAGGCCCCAAACTCCCACCCAGCTGTT